AAACGACCCTCATCGGGCGGGACGTTTTCAATAGCTAATTCGCCTCTTTTTATGCTATTACCTTATAATATCATGTGCGGGTATTCCCGTTGTTCTCGCAGGGCCATTAAAAACCAATTAACAATAAATAATGGTATAAATTAAATGGTATAATTGTTTTCCATGTCTTTGTTTAGTTTTGGCGATTTCAGATATATTCATTTATATTCATTTTTTCTAATCGTACCCGCTTTGACGTCGTTTCGGGTAGGATTAGAACTAATTCTACCTGACATGACGTAAAAGCGGGTAGGATTAGAAAAAATGAATATAATGAGGTGTATTAGTTATTAATTGCCCTACGAGAACAAAGGGAATACCCGCAATCATGATATTAACTAACATATTCACCTCTCATGCATGTATTTTTTGACTGACATATACAGGACCTGAAGGTTTATACCTCATACCCAGTTTGTTTGATAGGTTAATGTTTCTATAAAAGTTTTACAAACATTTACAATACCTTGAAGTTTCTTTTGGAAAGTTTCCAATGGGTTTCCAAACTTAAAATTTTCCCCACCAAAGAGAGACCTGCAAAAATGTCTTTTTATTAGCATTAATTCTACATGCAATATGCATGAATACGATAATACTGACATAACTAAAGGTTTTGTGCGAGTCTTGTAATTATTGTTCTCTTCGTTCTGTCCTCTATTAAAAAGGTTTTCGTTAAAATGGGAGGAGAATTAACATTCCATTGCAATATTTCGCCATCGATGAACAAAATTAAAATCTCGCCAATAAGGCCGTTAATTCCTCATATTAACAAAACAGTAGCAGCCTTTGGGTTTTCTAAGTCTGACAGGGTCACGAATACCACATTCTTGTCAAACTCTGAACCATTTCTTCGTCAGAGGGTTTAAACATTATTAGCGTCAGAACAGTATTCAGTTGTTTCATGTCGAACATTTCATGCTCTGTAAAATTGAAGAGGGTAAGAAACGACACTAGTTGTACAAGTTGAGGATAATCAGTCCCATTTGCTAATCTGATTACAGATATAGGACAAATTTAAATGTTCTTATGCTAACATAGGGCGAGCCATGCAAGCACAAGCACACCTACTTCCCCTTCCAACAATTTCAGGCAGTGATCATTCGTTGAGCGGGTTTCACAACATCTGGCCAACTACAAGTATATCTCACATGCAAGTGCCTTATGTACTACAAGCACATAACAGCGGCTTAAAATTACAAGTACCTCAGATTCTCTTCTTGAGCATGAGGGTAATCAGTTGGTAAAACAGGGAGAAATTTCTAGAAAGATTTCATGTTAAACTTGATTAGTATTCAAACAATATTGTGTAAACGCCTGATTTGCCCCGAAACATTCCCCAGCAAACAATTTTAGGAAATAGAGAAAGGTTATCCAATTAAAATATATTGTAAACAACTCAAGATACGAGTCACACTATACCTGTGGGACAGCCTTATATATGTCCCGGGGCAAGCAATTCTCCCGGGGGAAAAAATGTCTTGGATCCTTAATGAAACAGTAGCGATGTTCACATTATATTTTACTTGTCCGGGGAGAAGTCTTGAGTCTTGACCTTAGTGACTCGCCTATGTAGACAGGGGCACTCGCCTAGCAGGGACACTTTGCTCCGGGGCAACAAAAACATGTTATTTGTTTGAAGATATCATTAGAAATCTATATGTGATGATTCTAATATAAAAAATTGTCATTAATACCATCTTTGAAACCAAGAAATGCAGTATTGATCTGGTCTACCAGAAACAATGATTTGAGCACAATTAACTACTGTATGTTCTGCAGGCTATTATTTTGTAAATGTCGTAACATAAAATACGACCGGCGTTTATCAGAATGTTTCGATTTAGCAAATAAATGTGCCATAGTATGTGCCAAATAAACAAATGATCATTCAATAACCAAATACTTTACCTTTAAATGTTTTCGGTCATCTGGTGTTAGAACACAGTTCCAAGTATCCAGACTCAGCACATGCGAGAAAATTTCAGGCTAAAGAAATGAAATGTTAGACTAGACCATGCATATACAGTGTTGCCCAAAAGGCATAAAAAAGCATTTTATGACAAAGCCTTCAAATGAATGCATTTTGAGAAACTAGTCCTATTTCTATTTCTATTTCCTACATCTTCAGACAGTCATGATGATTTGTCCATGGTATGGGACTGCCCTTTCTACAGGACATGGACTGTCTGTCCATCTTTCCACACATCCGTCTGTCTGTCCCGAGCATCGCCTCTGCGTGTCTCTCTGCGTCTAGTTTTAAATTTGACTTCCTGCATGCATGTCTTGCATCTCCCTTTACTTTCTCTTTCTTCAATAATTCATCCATTTAATTTTTTTAATAAACTGCATGTATATACTAATATATTTAAATTAAGATTTAAGTACTTCTCATAAAATCTAAATTGCAGGCGTCTTGCATAAGGTTCTATTCGTCGTAACTTGCCTTCGTTTCATAAATTTATGAATAAAAATAATTAACATCAAGCTAGTCTACACTGTATGTATAGTCTAGCTAGGCTTGTCCGTCGTGACTACTTTAGTTGGCCGTTTGCCTAATTTGTTATATTTATATTGTATTCTTTTTTTATTATTTTTGTCATTGGTAATAAATCTTCTTCTTCTTCTTCTTCGATCATGAGTGTAGGGGTGTCTGATATACACTGTATATTGTATATTATGCATTTACGCTGCCTTATAGAGTGGCAATAGATCACGAGTTAGGCTAATAATTCACTTTCGTGCTGCCTTAGTAAATTTTTCCCACCGTCGCACCAACCCTTGGGTTGGTTGGTACTTTCCCAGCATTATACATTGGACGTTTGTTGATTGTTAATGTCGCTGTAGATGCGCCCGCGCATATAGCCAAAAGTGACGTACTTTCAGGAAAGGTGCATTGGTAAGATATTCAAAGGTAGTTCAAGTGTCCAATATATTTCAATGATTATCAGCATGTAGTTAACTCACTGAACCTTGCATATTTATACTGTTTTATATGTTTTGTATATGTATCCAAAATGTTTATAACATCCATGCTTAAATAAGAACTGCTGCTAATAAACAATTAAGTAACTTATGCTTATTACAATCATTGTAACTTATGCTTATTATCTTGAAATGCCTGCAACCAAGCTTACTGTACATCTTCATTAAAATACAAAAGAACAGTAACTCCGAATAACATTTTGTTTTGATTTATTGAATCTACGTTTCGACTAGATTGTAGTCATCTTCAGGATTAGTGTAAGATTACAAATACTGCTATATATGAAGAGAAGAAAGGCGGAGCTTAATGTCAGTGAAATATGATCAGTTCTTTAGATGCTTTAGCGCCATGGTTTAGTTCCGGGTTTCGCCTCCGTATAGCAAGAGACTCTTTATACAATAACAGAGACCAGTGATCAGACTTGTCAATTTTTTTACAGTTGTTGAAAATTAATTGAGTAATATTAGTGTTTATAGGGTTAGATGCGTCAGGTGAGAGTTCCATAAGAGTTTTAATGTATTGAAAATATTCACAGGAGTTGATGTGGGCGTTGATCTCGGAGTTTTCGCGCGTACTATGTTCTTTTAAACGCGTGTAGAGACAGCGGTCCGTTTTGCAAATATAAGCGCTTCGGCAGCCCGGACATGAAAATTCATAAACCACGGAGCTTTTATATTCGTCCGGCGTCTTGTCTTTGCATGACAGGAAGCAATTCGAGTTCGTGCTTCGCCAGTTCAAAATAAACTTACACGGACTCTTTAGCAAACGGCGTGTTTTACTCATAAACTTCTTTGTCAAGGTGTTGCCATAATTGCCAATGAATGGTAGTCTTATTCATATCTTGGGTAGGTTGTCTGGGGTAGTACTATCTGCTTGGTCGACGTGCGTGGTATTATTATGTGTTTCTGTGCGTGGTGTAAAGGATTTAATTAGCTTATTAGCAAGGTTATGAGAGAAACCGTTCCAGGACATAAATTCTTTGATGGCCTTGAGTTCAGTACGCAGTAGCTGTGGATTGCTGCAAATTTTATATGCGCGGTTCACTTTGGCTCTAATCCATGCTGTTTTGCGTGACCATGGGGTAAAACTTGATAAGTGTGTGTATTGGCCGGTATGTGTCATCTTGCGAAAAGTAGTTATGTCCGAGGTATTGATCTTTAGGTCGAGAAATTGCACGTTGTTTGAGGGTGAAATGAGTTAAACGTTTGTATTATTTTCGGGATATCAGAAGGTTTAGCGAGGACTATATAAAGTATCATCAACATAGCGGGCGTAAAATTTGATAATGTTCGAGTCGATTAATTGGCGTACAATTTCATCTTCGAAGTTAGTCATGATGATGTTGGCAAGGGTAGGGCCAAGTGGAGAACCCATTGCTACGCTGTCGACTTGTTTAAAGAGTTCGCCGTTTATCGAGAAGGGAGTCTTGGTGCAACAGTCAAGCAGTAGTTTCTTCGACGTTCGTTTCTTTAGGGTTGTGTTAAGTTGTTTCTTGTTGTAAATTCTATCTAGAATTAAATTGCTGGTTTTCTTAAGGGGCACATTCGTAAATAGGGACTTAACGTCAAACGAAACAAATCTATACCCGTCTCTGAATAGGTTTTGTGGTATGTTCCGGATGCGAGAGGCTGCTTCAAAGCTGTCTTTTAATGTGTGGACGTTCATGGTTAGAGGATTGAGTAGTCTAGCGAGGTATTTGGCAATCGGTTGGTAGGCAGTGCCAGTGGTGTCAATGATGGGACGGAAAGGTGGTAATGTATCAAAGTCCTTATGGGTTTTGGGAAGGCCATGTGCTCGGGCTGGTTGGGTGGATTGAGGTTGTACTTCTGAGAAAACATCACTTGTAATTTCACCGCGTTTGTAAATTGTTCTCAGGTAGTTTTGAAGGGTTGTTAGTTGAGTGAGTGTATAGGATCTGATTTGAGTTTATTGAATTTGGTTTCATCAGCGAAGAGACCCGTCATACAATTTCTGTAGTCTTCTCTGTTAACTATAACAACACCGCTGCCTTTGTCAGGTTTTAGGATGGCGTATTTCTTGCGGAGGTCTTTCAGGATTTTGATGCGTTTATGATCAACGTTCAACTGACGGTCATCAAAATCCAGGAAATTGCAGGCGAGTGCTCAGTGCTTTGATTGATGCTTTGATTTTCTGTTGTTTGATGAAGCTGTCTGGTAGAAGGTTTTGGTTCTTAAGCTGGTCCCATATTGATTCAGCCGACGCGATGACATCAGACTCGTTCGGTCGAGTAGCTAGGCCATAGATATAGCAAATAGATATAGCATGTTCTTTCAGGAGGGATTGAAATTTGCGTTCTTGGCGTACAGATATTTGTGACAATTTCTTGTCCACATTGGGTCGTTGAGCGTGGTACTTTAATTTGGCATTTTTAAACCATGTCGTTTGGGAAGTGATTGATAACTTGTGTTCATACAGGGCTGTCTTGCATGAGCTGTCTCAGAGAAATGTGTTGATCTTGAATAGTTTCTTATTTCTCTACACGCGTTTACAAGAACATAGTACGCGCGAAAACTCCGAGATCAACGCCAACATCAACTCCTGTGAACATTTTCAATACATTAAAACTCTTATGGAACTCTCACCTGACGCATCTAACCCTATAAACACTAATATTACTCAATTAATTTTCAACAACTGTAAAATAATTGACAAGTCTGATCACTGGTCTCTGTTATTGTATAAAGAGTCTCTTGCTATACGGAGGCGAAACCCGGAACTAAACCATGGCGCTAAAGCATCTAAAGAATTGATCATATTTCACTGACATTAAGCTCCGCCTTTCTTCTCTTTATATATAGCTGTATTTGTAATCTTACACTAATCCTGAAGATGACTACAATCTAGTCGAAACATAGATTCAATAAATCAAAACAAAATGTTATTCGGAGTTACTGTTCTTTTGTATTTTATAAAAATAATGAGTGGTTCCCGTAATTATCTTCATTAACTTTTAGCGATTTTAATATTTTTAATGATTTTTACACAATACTACTCATACATATCCTTACACTTCATTCGCGTTTCCAATGTCTTCCTAACGCGCGTTCAAAACTACAATTAATTATATCTGAAAACAATTACTGTATTGCGAATATCAATTGTCGCCAATTTTTTTCTGGAACGCGAACGCAGTATACTGCAGCTAGCCAGTACTTTAACGTTAGATTTAAGCAGAAATGCTTTTAATCCAACCAAAGCGATATACCTGTTTGGATGTGATATCAGCCGTAGATCACAATGCAGAGTATTAAACCATAGTTAATAGAGGGCATGATTAAACTGACGGAGCAATTCACAATGCAATTTGAAGATAGTGGTGTGCGGTTGATCATCATTACTTTGAAAACTGGCAAAAGTTGTTTCGTTGATACTCAGCCTACACCGCCAAAAGAGGTTTGAATAAATTGTGAAAATACCTGAAGGTATTTGCATAACCATTGTACGTTTTAGATTACCATTCGTTGTAATGATGTACATAAAAAAATTTGTTTCACCTTTTTTAAAAAAAGACAAAAGTGCAAATTGAATACAGTGAAGCTAAATTTAATAATCTCATGGAGATTTACATCATAATCTCATGGAGATTTACATCTTTAAAAGTCGGAATAAATTTGTAGTCTTGCCTGGTGTTTGTGCTGCATGTCGCAGATATACATATATAGTGTTCCTCCTATGCACCACTGTAGATAACGATTGTGCCATCTTTGGTCGCATTTATTTGTGGACCATGCCCTAGTGTTTCAATTATATCAACAAATTTGTCCGCTTTTACTTTGCCACTCGCATCCAAGGTCAATAATTTATATCGAGGAGGAGGAGGAATACTTTCATATAGTGGTGTGGGATTTCCATCACCGGCACGACGATGTATATGTATACGTTATCATTTTTTATCGACAACAAAACAGCTTTGTTCAGGCCACCGCTATCATTTTCTGAACTAGGAATGGTACAAAACAACTCGCTCTCGCAGCTTTTCCTAATGATCTTCAGATTATCTAAACTTGCAGTCATTGATATTATTTCTCCTTTATTGGTTAACGCGCAATGGAAAATACCTGTGGAGAGATTCCGGTACCAGGGACCTGAATTTTCTTCTTTCAATTTTTCGTTTAAGTGCGTGGTCGTTGAGCAGTGGATGATAAAATGTCTTGCCGTTCTTTATTTTTGGTCAGTTCAAAAGACCCATCTTGATGTTTGTACAGTAAATTTCATCTAGCCAAACAGAAAACTTCGCTTATACTGCAAGTAAATCCTGTACATATATCTAAAGCTGATCCAGATTCGTACTCTATCTGAAAGAGCTACAGGATTTACCTGCAGTACAAGCGATGTTCCCCTTGATGTTTCCCTCGAGGATTCTGCTGGCAATGCTAGTGCTGAGCATAGAACTGTCTAGAAGATAGATTAATTCAACCAATCTTCTGTGCTCAGCACTATGTTGTTTAAATGCTTCCGTTGCTAGCCTCCTTACATCTTTTGATGACTCTTTGCCCAATTTATAGCGTTCCCAATAGGCAATAGCGTTGGAAAGTTCAATTGCGCTTTCTAAGGCATCGCGTTCAGCTTGCGTGACAGGAAACTGTTTAATACTCTTTTTGCTGTTGTCCCTTCGACTTCAGATTCGTCTTCTAAGTGTGTTTTTGAAATGCTGGGCTGATCACCAGATTTCTCGAGAAACATAATATTATAATACAACCTGGCAACACCTTCTTTGAAAAAGTTGATGTTGGTAAGTAGATCCTTTTTGGTTTGAAGGTTTGTCAAGAATTGCTATACTTGCCAGCCTTGTCTTTTACGTTCTTGTTTATAACGGTATAAATGCCAATGTCTATTTCACATGTTATAGTTTAATATAATTTCATAACTTTATCAAGAATAATTTCTATAGTTTTCAGAAAGGCTTTGGTGATAATTGAACTACTCACAAGACTAATAAATAAATGTATATATTAAGTAACTCATTGTACATAGAATTTTTCGGCCGAGGTAAACAGTGAAATTCTTAATTTGTTACAATGCCTACACATTAAGCTTAAGTCTTGGTGCACTTGTAAACAGCAAATTGACTGCCATATACGTCTGCAGTCCTTGACAGTTTTCATCATCTTATTCCTGGGTGTGAGAAGGAAAAGGAGGGATTGCCGACAATGCATCAAGAAACAAAATACACCCACTTTTCACTCTTGTCAAGTTGGCTCTGCTTTTCCATAATCATTAGTTCTATCCAATTAGATCTATCCAATAGGAACTGCTCACTTAAGCAGGCTTTGTTTATTTATAACATCAACATTCAAGTCTGGAAATTATTTATAGCATAATTACTACATAATGATATCATATTTGATTGATAAGCATATTAATTTCGACCAATGAGAATTTTGCGTTGTGTGGGCAACACATATTTCGTTTCTTGATGTGTTGTTGGCAGTCCCTCCTTTCTCCTGAGGGACTAATCACAGTCTAGGGGTACCCTGGAAATGCAATCAACTTTGCTAGCTGAATAAAAACAGTAAACACGAACAGTAAATTATACAGCATTGTAAAAATAATCATGTGCTTGCTTATGTAGCATAAAAAATGCCTTTATGTCTTATTTATTAAAGTTGTTACAAATTTGCAGTATAAGGGAGAAATAGGTTTTGTCACGCTTAAAGGCAGATCTCCACTAGATGATTTTCGAAACGATGTTTATGACGATCATCATAAAAATTTGTGACAATTTAGAGACAAGTGGAGATGTACTAGCAGCAAGAAAAACAGCGCGGAATCTTATTGGTTGAAAATATGATGATCGTCAAGCGCTCGACGAAAAGTAGAACTAGTTTCTCCTTTTCGTCGAGCGCTTGACGATCTCTTTTACGATCATTCATTTCCTACTGCGCATGTTCGTGGCGGATTTTTCAGACGATCGTCATAAAAATCGTCTAGTGGAGATCCGCCTTAACGGCATTTGTGCTGTTAAGGCCTCAACCCCCTCCCCCCTTAGCAGCATGGTCCGTGGCCTAAGTCAGCATGACACAAAATCCAAGTTGTATTAAAGTATGTACCTGAAAGGAAAAGCTTCTGTGCAGATTTAGATTCTTGCAGTTCCCATTAAAAAGACACATTGTGAACAGGGAGTATAAAATAAAACATAATATTCATGTGATATGAAAGGAATTGGTCAATTTTTTCCCGTTATAAGCAAAAATTTAAGGCGAGTTTTCGTCACGGAAAAGTAATTTTAACGGCAGAGACTACGACCCCCGACCCCCTTAATGGCACTAATGCGGTTAAGTGTGACAAAACCTATTTGTTGACGCTACCTAAGTTGGACATTATAGTTCGGTCTGTGCCAACGTAGAGGTAGTGCCGAAAACAGTTACTGCTGCAATTCTCCTGTGGCAACTTGTTGGTGCCTTCCACCCAGGTAGATGGGTAAGCAAGTTGCCTTTCACAAACTTCAAGTCTTATAAACCAGAAGGTAACTTTAATATGAGAGAGCTTTAATATATTAATTGTCAGTTGTGACACCTACCTTTCAACAACTGCCTGGAGACCTTGTCACATCTATTAAAATTTACCCCTACACAACACAGGTTGTAAAATTCCAACTTACGTTCTCAATAAGATCAATTGGTAACTCAATCTCTGTTCCTTGAATATTGCACTTCTCCATCATAAAAATTCTGAATTCGTATTCGTTGAATGTAGGTCGATGAAAACCCCCATCCAGAATTTTGTAATCTGCGGATTTGTCGTTGCAGATTACTTCAAGTTTTAATCAAGAACTCAGATTAAATATCCTACAGATTCTAACGATAAAAAATCTAAACAACGTGGACATATTATAAGATTATAAGCCTCCATTCAAGTATTCAAGTTCAACTCCTGTTTTTTTGTAGCATGATTAGACCAAGGTTGCTGATTGGTTGGTGCAATGAAGTTTTAATATAACGAGGTATCTGATTGGCCCTTAAAGGAATGTATTTGTGTTCGAAGAAGATGGCGGCAGCGTTGGAGTGGAATTTATATGCTGTTCGATTGTTTTTAGTAAATTAAAGTGCAACGGTGTTTTATTTCAAGGTGATATGACCAAGATGATGGGAATACGTAATGAAGACATGATTTAGCTATCAATAGATATCGCATTATATGAAGGAGAATTATTCGGGAGTGTTTTAGTTTTATCATGGCAGAGAATCAGAATCGTGTGTGTAATTTCTGCGAACAGTCGGCAGTATCAGATAAAAGTGATGATGTGAATGATATGATACCTTGTTCAATATGTGGTGACTTCTGTAAGTTTATATATAATATGAGCGCTGAGCCGCCAACTGATTAATCTGTGACACAGCTCGGCATGGCCAGGATTTTTGGTCAAGGGGGAGGGGGGGCAGCAAGAGCCTAGGTGGGGCCAGGCTTCACTTATTTTTGTAGAATAAATTTTCTCAGGAGGGACCCAAAATTTTACCAGGGGGTACACCTCTGCTGTTACAATTATATTAAAATGGCCGAATGGGTCATTCCAGAAAACATCCATACCACCCCCACAGAGGAAATAGGAAGGTAACCCCCCTACCCGCTTCGGATGTCCTAATACATTTACTATTATCAGAAACAATTTTTTCTCCCCTCCCCCTCCGGACGGCAGAAATTTCCTCCGTGGGGGGAGTATGGGTCTTTTCTGGAACGACCCAATTTATATTAGAGGGGGGTAATGGGGGGGGGGGGGTG